TGTGAAGATATATATATATATATATATATATATATATAAAAGAGAGAGAGTCTTGTTGTGGTTGAACAAACTAAATGCGTTTTTGATTAAGTTCCCGTTTTATTAAAATTGGTAGCAAAATTTTTATTTTGGCAGCTAAGAATAAGAAATTAATTAGTTCTTTCTGCTTGTAAAACATTATTTCCCAATTAATCATAAAATATTTTAGTGAATATTTTGAACATAATACTTGACACTTTAATAAAATTAATTTTTAATTTTAGATTGAACATACTTGTAGTTTCTTTACATTATATACTTGACTTTATAGATTGTAATTTATTTATTTATTTATTTATTTTCAAATTTTCAGATTGAACTGATTTTTAGCTTTTGGTATTTATTTGTTTGGATTTTTAGATTGATGAAATTATTTAATTAAAAAGACAAAGTTAAGGATATTTTGTAACGTAGAATTCTATTAGAATCTTATGAATTTCATTGAATTTCATTATAATTTGTAATATATTAAAATCTTATAGAATATGTAAAATTTTATTCAAATCCATTAATATATGTAAATCCATAAATCTTAAGAAATTCATTAAATTTGAGTTGAGGACACAGTGAACTTTTTTCCTTCATATTCTAAGTCAAAGTAGGTACAACTACGGATGTTAACGAGCCAAGTCGAGTTGGCTCGCAAGTTGAAACTCGAGACTTGGGCTCGACTCGGGTAAAATGTGCGAGCTTTTGCTCGGCCAAGAAAATTAGGCTTGACCCTAGCTTCAGCTCGAGCCTTTCCGAGCCGAGCTGGGCAAGCTCGCTTTTTTCTTTGCTCTTTTTTATTTATTATTTATTTAATCTGCATTAAAATTAAAAGGCAGCCAGCAAACACGGGTTAGCTAGCTGCCTTTTAAAAGGCAGCATTTTGTTGCCTCCAATTTATTTTATTTTATTTTATTATTATATTTTCTTTTTGGCTTGCGGGCTACCTCGAGCTCGGCCTGTCCATCCAAATTGGGGCTCGGCTTGAGCTTAGACTCAGTTCTTCAAAGCCTCGAGTCAAGCAGGTTCGGGCTTTTTCGGGTCGAATCACGGGCGGCTCAAGCAGGCGAGCCAAACCTTCAGATTCTAAGTCAAAGTATGTTAAAATTGAAAGGCCAAAGCATATAGAGAGACTTTAAATTACTTTTCTTCAGATTCTAAGTCAAATTATGTACAACAGAATGGCCAAAGCATAGAGAAATCAAGAAAATAAAAAGTAGCTAATTTCCACTATTTCAGCAGATACTCATAATTTGTATCAGTTCCCAACATAGACAGACCTTTTGGCTACACCTAAAGGCGATCTAAACCGGTACTGGCTCGTAATCTCTGGTCTTATCTCCAGCTGCTGCAGGCGCGGGTTGTAAATCTTCTCTATTTCTTGTTTTATTTTGCGAACTTGGACGTGAATTGGGATTCCATCTTCGTTATTGTTGTTGTTGACGTTGGTTCTCTCCATAAACATGAAGATAAATAAATCTCCCATAAATACTCTCTCCTCTCTAAAGTATATGGCTTTTGTGTATCAAAATGTATTGGTACGTGCATGTTTATATATGGTGGGAATGTGGAATGAGTGGCAAAAACACACGATTTTTTTTTTTCCATGATAGGTAATTATATTGAGAGATTTTTATTTATTTATTTATTTATTTTCCTGCCGTAGGCTCATATAATTGTTTGGAAACTGATTTTATACTACTTTTGGAGTCAAAATTTTAATGTCTAATTTATGGGAATCAGATCTTTCAGATTATCCTTTGACCAAGGAAAATTTTGTGGGATATATATTGTAATCTAATCCCATTAGCTGGTTGAATTGAATTAGATATTGATTATTGAATAATTAAAATTGTTCTCATTCCAAAAATTCCCGAACCCGATAAATGCCCTTATTACATGTGCATTTGTCACTGTCAAGTGTCAACACGTTGCCTTGGCATCGTTCCCACTGAATATTCGCATTGCCCGCACATTCTGTACACATCCGAACATAATGTTGACATGGAATAAAGTATCACCCATGCAATCGCAGGTTGAACCCCAACCTTAAGAGTCTCTCACCGCTCTATCCCTGAAGTATCGTGAGAGAAATTAATCGCGAAATGTGTCCCAACATGTTAAGAAATAAGAGTTGCTTGTACATTGGTGCCCACAAAGAATCTCAATTCATGTTTCAGGAATCGAACCCTCACACTACGACTGCCAACAAGGTTGAGTATATTTTACCTTTGTCCTTTGCACTACTGGAATATGACCCGAGGGGCGCACCCATGCAATCACTATTTCACGGATGGACAATCAAGCAGATGTTTATTCACGTACACAAAAAACAAAGTTGAATGTACAGTTCTCAATGTAGAACATCAAATTGAAAAACAGGAACATCATAATGCATCACCGGAAAATGAAACTAAAAGACCACAAATAATTTATTCTATTCAGAGTACAATTCCAACTTGTACTCAATTTACCTCAGAATCTTTTTTCTTCATTATAAGGCTATGTATGATCACGGATGAGAAGAGGAAGGATAATGTACCATTCACTCTGTAAAAGTATACATATTATCTACTCTACCTTGTTTGGTAAAGGATTTGTAATTTAGTTCCATACTCTAATTTTGAGTCTTAGGTTTTGCTAAGGTTACTTAAGTCTTTTCAGCACTCCAAAGCTCCCAATTCGGTTTGGGAAGCTCCCATTTGGATATCTGTTGTTGATTCTCAACGCACTTTTCATCCCAAATATAGGCAACATGTATCATTTTGCTGGAATATTTCCTTAA